TATATCCTGGAAATCACTCCATATCAGTTCCTAAATATCATCTGTGTCATATTTGTTCCTCTTTTTTTTTTGTTTTTGGGTGGTGCAGACTCCATCAGAAGAATATATCATTATTCAACCAGTCTCTGGATGTGTGTTTTAAGACCTTTATACAGAGAAATTAGCTCCTTGGTATGAAAAAACTTCCATATATTTTATTCCAGTTTTTTTCTGTAGACTGCTTCTTGTGTGTGTGTGTGTGTCATTCTCTTTATAATGTGTTCTGTTTTACGTTTTTTTAATTTTTATATAATTGGATTTATCAGTCATGTGTTACTTTGGGACATTCGGTCATAGTTAGGCTTTTTCCACATATAGGTTATAAAGTACAGACCTGTGTTTTCTTCTAGTACTTCATGGCCACATTTTCCTAAGGAATTCATTCTGTCGCCTCTTGTCAGATGTGAATACAGTTTTACCTTTCACTGAGAACGTATGGCATCCCAACATTTTTTTAATCCTGAATTCTTTAATACACTCAATAATGTGTTTAAAATGTCAGGAGAGAATTTATGATGTGTCCTTGTTCTATTTTATGTGTAAATGCCCCTTGATATTTTTTTCCAGGAAGTCAATGAAAATTCTCTTAAGAGATTAAGTGCCTACTTAGAAAACCTCCAGAAGCCAGGGTTCAAGTCTTTGAAACCAACTCAGCTCATGTTTTATGTAAGAGAAACAGACCAGAATTCCTCCGATGGCCAGGAGCACTTTAGCACTTCCGGTACGTGTCTTATTTCTCGTGTGTCCCTTGCAAGCTTCATGTGTCCGTTCTGTCTGACAGTGCCAGAATAACTTTGGATTGAAGCCTTGGGTGTAGAAAATAATATCATTTAATTGAGTGTTTTCCTAGAACTAGATTCTAAGTCTGGCTGCATGTGTTTGACAAGCTTTTTTTTATGTTTAATTTTTCTTTTTACCAGAAAACTGAAGTGTTCCTATTTGTCCCCTTCTTATTTCAGTTCATTTTTAAGCATTAAACATGTAGATAACAGTTTATATTTTTTTAAAATATAGCTTATGTTTTTTTATTTTATTTAGTCCTCAAAGGATCTGTGAGATGGGTAGTATTTGCCCACTTGTAACTTAGTGATGTCCTGGGACCAGATTAGAGATCTTGAACCCAGGTCTTTTAACTCCAGCCTCGTGCTGTTTCTAAAATCCAATCAGTCTTAATATACAGCCTTCTGTTTGGTCCTTTGTCACTTGCTTTAGCCATGATTCAGTGATATTTAAAACTAAGGGCAAATATGGCTCTGTCATTTCTGTAAACATCCATCCTTTTAGTGATCCTTGAGGAAATAATTTTAGTTTTAGCATGAACTTTAAACCAATTTAAAGATTTACAATTTAAAGATTTAAAGATTACCAATTTCTCAGCTCCAGCTAAGAGAAAAATACTTGAGTTGATGGTTAACCTTGAATCATTTATTAAATAAAAACAGATTATAAAAAAAATTAGAAATGGAAGCAAGCATTCAGCATATATGACAACAAGATAATGTTAATATATAAAGAGTTCTTTGACGTCAAAAAGAAAACAGTAGCTCTGTTACAAAAATGGGCAAACAGTGACTTGACAGTTCAGGAATAATACACATAAATAGCCAATAAGCATATAAAAAGGTTTAACCTGAGTAATCAAATACAAACTAAATTAGGTAGCATTTCCCAATAAAGACATGTGCAATCTGGTACCGGCATTCCACACTTTATTGCAGCCCTTGCATTTGATTCAGTAATTAATGGGATTGATAAGATAGAAACTGAGATTTATTCCTTGACTTAGCTCTTCTAAGGATAAACTATTTCTTCCTAACATCAAATGCAGGAATTTGAATTTTCCTTTCCTCTTTCACCAATTAGAATAATTCTCCAACTAGTATTTCTCACTTTATTGTCAGTGATTCAACTAAAAAAATCTCTCAGTTTGTGCATCATAGACTCCTTAAATCTGTGTGGTGAGCACGGTAGGTAGCTCTGAGACTGGTGTAGACTGTGATGTCTGTCACCAGTGGCCAAGACAAGACACATTTCAGCCTTGTGTGGAACGGTGAAAAATTAAAATCAACTTCTGTGCACATCAGTTTCAGAAGTAGTGAATGAATCATGCTATGTTCGTTAGATAGATTAGTGTGTAGCTACTAAAAAGAAAGAGGTTGATGTATGCATGCAGACATGGGAGGGTCGCCAATGCTCAGTAACAAAAGTTCAAAGTAATGGATCCAGGCGGGTACCATTTATGTACTTAAAAGGAACAGTTGACACCAGGGTGTGGGTGTATGCAGATACATGAGCTTATGTGTTGTAGGAAACATATAGAGCACAGAAAAGGGCAGAGCAGGGCCATCCTAGAGAACTCTCTGTGATGATATAAATGTCCTGTATCTGCGCCGTCTGGCGCAGCCAGCAATAGCCCCATGTGGCTGTTGAGCATTTGCAGTGTGGCTAGTGTGGAGCTGAATTTTACATTTTATTTAACTTCAATTACTTTAATTTTAAATAGCCACATATGGCTAGTAGCTATCAGATTTTAGATAGTGCAGATCTAAATGCGTGTGTACCTAACTTAATAGTGTTATATTGAGTGAAAGTGTGAGGTTGTGTGCCTGCCAACAGGAGACTTGACTTTATATAATTTTGCAATAAGGATATACTTATATAATACTTCTATAATTTTTTAAACCAATTTAAACAGTTTTTGGGAAAGGGAAGGCATAGCTCAGGGGTAGAGAGCATGCTTAGAGTGCACAAGGTCCTGGGTTCAATCCCCAGTACCTCCATTAAAATAAATAAATATATATATGTATGTGTATATATATATATATATACACATACCTAATTACTTCCCCACCCCACCCCCAATTTTTTTAATCAGATTGTGAGGCACTAACTTTTTTTAAAATTAGGGAATTTTGAGTCTCTTCTGAAAATAGTGAGTCACTAGCTAGCTGGATGGGGAAGCATGAGGACAAACTCAATCAGAGAGAAAAGTTGAAATGAGTTTCTGTGACCACTGAGCCTGAATTGGCCCCTCTCCTCTGAACCACTTTCACAGGACAGCCTCCCTCTCCCTCCACACTCCCTTTCCCTCTCCCCCCTTCACTCAGCGCTGGAAACTGTCTTGGGGGACACTTGCTCATAGGAAAGCTTGTCCATCCCTTAGACTGTAGAGACCAAATTTATGAAGAGCATTGAAAATATTCTGAATCCCCCTCGTGGGGTGGGGTGGGTTTGGCCACTGGTGCCAAACTAGAAAAGGGGGTTAACAATTTCAGGGACTTCATGAAGCTTAGGGTAGTGTGGTACAGTTTTGGAGAAGGGACAGAATTTTCCATTTACAGATGATTTTTTTACGCCAATAGGGTGAATTTTAATCGGTAATGGAGTGTTTTTAAAGATTTTGATTCTATAAATGTTGTATTAAAAATGTTTTTAAAGTAAAGCAAATGATCCTCTGTATTAATTGGGCGAATTATATTCTCTAGGGTTTCGAGCAGTCAGATTTACTTTGCACACCTGAGATCTGCTAAACACAGTATTATATATTCTCAACTCCTGCAGTTTATCTATTGAGCATGTCCAACGCTTGAATAATAATGTGAACTCCCAGATTCTCAAAGAGGCCAAAGGGATATCTGACAGGCCCATCAAATGGGAAAAGTCTTACTACCCCTTTACTGGATTCAAGGACCCTAACGAAGACCTTGAGCAAGTCTGGAGAATGGAAACAACCCTAACGTATGTAAGAGTTTTTATTTAACTAAACTTACTGCGGTCATGTTTAAAGTCTAATTTTCCAGGAAAAGTAATGCTATTAAGTATAGCTAATCCAGTAACCATTACAAAAAAGATATTTCATGTTTCTTACTTTAGGTTGCCGGAATACTTCTAATTGTATTTGATTTTTTGGCCTTTTGAACTTTTGATACCAAACACATGCAGGAGGTGGTTTTGTTTAACTTTTAAAAATTCTACTCCCCAAGTTACCCCTCGTAAAGAGTCTAAGGACCCAGAACTCAGCCTGAGCCAGCTGGCACAGTAATGAAAACAGGTGGAAACTGAAGAGCCAGTTCACCAGGATAAGTGGGGTCCCAGCAGGTTCCTTGTCCAAGCTGAGTATTTATGGTTTCCTTATTTGTATGTAGTTCATCCTGTAAAACTCCTCAGTCTCTAATCAAAGTAGACTCTTTTCCATTATATTATATTACATTATACTAGAGAGTGAGTTTTTTGTTTGTTTTTTTTAGAGGGGGAGGTTAATTGGGTTTTTATTTTATTTATTTTTTTATTATTTATTTTAATGGAGGTACTGGGGATTGAACCCAGGACCTCGTGCATGCTAAGCACACACTCTACCACTGAGCTATATCCTCCCCCTTAGAGAGTGAGCTTTTAAGAGTAGGACACATGTTTTAGTCATCTCTCTTTCTGCTACTCTGCGTCATAGATTCGTAAAACCCATCCAGCATTTTGATTACACTGAATTAAAGGACTTTTGAGTAAGTGTGGATGCAAAGTGCTGGAGGCAGAGGATGGAGAACTGAGGTTTCAAATGGAAATGTGAAGTAGCTTAATATAGACGGTAGGGGTAGAAGGGACTTGGCAATGATGTAAAGGGCCGTTTTTAAAAAATAATACCTCTGTTGATTTCATTAGTTTTTACTAAAAAACATCTGTTTTTAGCAAGAGTTGCTTTGTCGTAAGGAAAATTTCTGTGTAGAGATGAGTTGTGCTACTATGAATTCTTGATTTCCTCCAGAGGTGTACTTTGTTTTAAATTCAAGTTCTCATGTTGACAGTTAACCAGGACAAGCTCATTTGGATTTGTCCACCCTTAAAGAGGATAGCAACATGAATTAAATAGACAACAGCTTTAGAAATTGAAATCAGTGGAAATTTAACTTTCTAATACACTGACCATCATTATCCAAATCCACTTGTCAGTAGCTATCTTGTCAGACATTGAAACAAACCCATTATTAGCCAGATAGAACCTTTCTTTTCTTAGCTTTGCCAGATAAAACTAACAGTGGTGGAGCATTACATGTTTTAGCCTTGTTTAAAACAGAAATCTTGCATTCGCTTTAAAACTGTGATTTCAAATTAATACAGAATTCTCCTCAGTGAAACAGACAGCATTCAGAGTTGCTTACAGAAGAGCTGGGATGGGGTTGTGGCTGGTTCTTGGTATAATGCTATGTCCATATCTTTTACTTCCCTGCATTTTTCTTGGGCTGGAGAGGATTAAGAGTTGACTGGTATCACCTTCAATCTTCCTCCTCAAGATCTGTCTTCTAAAATCTACCAGTTAGAGATTTCTGTTTGTTTAGTTTTTAATTCTTACACTAGAGGCCCTTGGATTTGATTTCTTGAGCGTTGCTATTGTCTTAGTGACTTTCCTGAACCAGATCATCACACCTCGTGGAGTTTTGAGTTTAGCTTATGAGTATAATTTTAGAGCAGACAGTCCAGGCTGGGTAGGATGGGAGAGGGTAGCTCTGCAGTGAAAAGGGCAGGAGTAATACATCCTGCTCTTTGGGCACATTGAGTAAATTGTCACGAAGATGAAATGCTGCAGAAAAATCTGTGTTGCCTTTACCAGCGTGCCTTCGAGTGCCGATGCCCAGTAATGAGAGTTGTACAAATTTGGGAGATTTCATCTCTTATCTCCACAGCCTCACCTGGTTTCCCTGTTCCAGTGTGTTCACATAGGCCCAGAGCCCCTTCCAGCGAGTCTGGACATTTTCCCAAATGTGGACCTTGCCCAGTTTGAAGGACCCCCTGATAAGGTTGGTCCAGCACTTTGTTTCATGTTAAGTTCTTCCCAGTAAGGATTCCAGGAATGTATGTTATCAAAGCCAGAATGGTACCTGTATTGGTTTCTTGTTTTAACTATTAATTTTTTAAATTTTTAATTATTTTGCAAATAATTATAAAATTGTTGAACTATATGAGAGCTTCCAAATCATATGAATGGAGTGACTGCCCCCTCATCGGATTGAGGGTACCTGTAACTCGGCCAGAACCTGTTCACCACCGTGGGCATTCTGGTCAGTTTGTCTTTATTTTCACTTGTATTGTTTAACTCATCTTTATTCTATTTGCAGTTTATAGAATAGGCCTCACAAGGAGCACATACTAAATTAAATGATGATGATTCTGCAAATTTACATCAAACTGATCTTCACCTGATTTACAAATTGCATTCACCTGAGCAAAATTTATTATTGACAGCATACTAAGATATTTCTAATATCTCAGAACGTAATGTTAAAAAATATAGCAGTATTGTTTAGTGTGAACGGTCAAGTAATTTTGCTTTTGTTTCTGCAGAGAAGTGCAGGCTGAGCTTCTCGCACCATTTTGAAATAAAACACAGAAATTGTGAAAGTAAATCAGTTTTTTTTAAAGATACAACAGAAGAATTATCAGGTCATAAAAAGCTCCATTTAATCTATTTTCTCACTGTACCTGGTAATTACATTTCAGTCTACATCTTAGGACGTGTAATTTTGAATTTCCCAGCAAATTGTGCTGTATCTTACTGCAGAATCATTTTATACTGTATAAAAAGGATAAAATGAAACATTTAACGCTTTAAGTGTTTTTTTAATTATATGCCAGTCTAAAAAATTTACCAGCCTAAAAAAAAAAGTAGGAAATGCTACTCTGTGTTGTGACTTTTAGTATTTCCATATTTTGCATATATTCTCTGATTATCAAATAATATAACAAAATGTATTTTAATGGTAGAATTTGTGTCTGGAAGGAGCCAACAGGATCCGTATGTATCTAAACAAAATTACCCCATGTGTAGTGTCTATCCCACTGAGAACAGGGTGTCATGGGACTAGAAAAACCATCGAAACACTATTCTGCCAGCTTCTGCCATGTCAGTAAATGTCAGGCTCCCATTTTTTCCACTTGAAGTTTATTCAGGTAGTTTTACTTCACTCTCAGTGTCTAAGTTCTGAATCAGCCCTGATGTCCAGGAAGTACCACGTTGGATGACTGCAGCATTGGGATGACTTCTCTACAACGCTGGGGAAGTTTATGATTGTGCTTTAACTCCTGTCATGCATTTATTCACACTTTCTCTTGTTCATAGGCCAAGTCAGTGTCCTTCAAAACTGCACGTCTTAACTTTAATGTCTGTAGTCTCCTTTAATCTGGAATGGTTCCTCAGTGTTTTCTTGTCTTTTATCACTGTGGTGTTATTTTGTAGAATGTCCCTCAGTTTGAGTTTTTTGAGTTTATCTGATAATGTCTTCCATAATTAGAGCCAGATTATGCATACTTGGCAGGTATACCCCCAAAGTGACGTGTGTTGTTTTCCATGGATCATGTCTGAGGCATATGATGTTGATTGAGCCTATTACTAGTGATACTAACTTGAACCATATGATTAAGGTGGTTCTCCCAGTTTTTTCCACTGTCTTTCCTTTCAGTTAGTTTCTTTTGAGGAGCTACATAGGGCTATGATAAAGTATGTATCCTTTTACTCACCACATTTTTACCCCTTACCTCTAGTATTCATTGATGATTCTTGCCCGAATCTCATATTGTGACAATGGTTCCAAATGATAATTCTCTAATCTTGTCATTTCTTCCAGCGGGCTCCTCTGTCCCCGTCATTCTCTGAGGGCTCTCTCACTTTCTGGTTCACCAAGGTATTCCAGGCCCATCTGGACTGTCCCTGCTATCCAGCATTGGATGGAGCCATTTTGCCAAGAGGCCCTGGTTCTTTCTAGTAGGGAATGATTTTTAGAAACCAGGATCTGGGTGCTCCCTGTGCGTGACGGCTGCTGATTTCCCAGGGATCAGCTGGAAAACATGTCTTTATCTTTGTAGCTAGGTTTAATATCTGCATAGACACATAGAGAATTAAATACCATGTTCTGAACTTTCATTTTTATCTCATTTTGTTAGAAACAAAACACAAAAATTGTTAAACTAGGCCACTTAAATTTTATACATGAAATGTAAAAATTCCAAAACTCAGGTCATGAATATATAATCATAAGATTATATTCAGTCTATATTTTAAAACATTTGGTCCACAAACCACACACAGTATGGCCATTTGGTAATACATTTGTCAACAAATCATCCTTTTTCTTACATGATTTAAAGTAAATTGATTAACATGTATTACTTAGTAAATGAGGAAAAGGTTGAAAAATTATGATAGCTATTAGTAGTCAGTGATATAAAGTAAGATATTTTTACTTATTTTCTTATTTCTCACACATGCAGAAATGACAAAATCTTCACCAGTATTCTTAAAGAGGGGGTGGGAAGAATTATTAATGACTACACACAGTTAATGAATCAAAAACATGTTCCTTAAAGGAACACCTTTAAGCTGGTGAGGAAAGGATAAATTAGGAGTTTGGGATTAGCAGAAACAAACTATTACATATAAAATAAATAGCGAGGTTGTACTGTATAGCACAGGGAACAATATTCAATATCCTGTAACAAACCAGAATGGAAAAGAACATTTTTATATTTATATATATATATATATATATCTGAATCACCTGGCTGTACACCAGACACTAGCACAACAGTGTAAATCAACTATACTTAATTAAAAAAAAAGTGAAACACCTTTACCTGGAGGATAAGTTCCCAATTCCTTATCCCAGTGTGCAAGACCTTTTATGATCACAGACACAGAGCCTCTCCGGTCTCATCTCATGCCCCTGTCCGTCTAGACATCATGTGACCTGGGCACGTTGGTTCATCTTACAGTTCCCTGTGCACAGCATGGTTGGTGTTCCCTTCCCTCTCACCAATCTGCCTGAAAAAATCTGATCCATCTCTCGGGTTCCAGGTCCCATATCACCTGCTCTGTAGAACCTTCCAAGCAGAATTAATTCTTCCTCTATTCTCATAGAAGCTTATATATTCTGTTCCAGCTGCTTATCTCTCTGTTCCTTACTGGAGGTGTCTTCCTCATATTCTCAGTACAACACGCTGCTAGGCTTTCAGGAGAAAGATTTGGTACATACAGATGTTTTGGTTGGTTCTGTGAGTCTTGATAATTTTTTAAATGTTGTAGATCATAACATCTAAAACCTTTACGATGACTATTAAAAGGAACCTTTACAAGGTGTGTTTGGCACGCACTTCTGAGATGGACATGAGCCCTTCTGCAGTGTTACTTGTTAATGGCCAACCGCCCCTGACAGTATCCCACAGATGTCAGATGTCCTGGGATGGGCACCGCATGACATGTGCATGTTCCCTCTGTAGACTTTTTCCTTTCTGCTGAGGCTCTTATATGGTTGATGGGGAGCAAATAAAGGAGGGGGGGAGGTGATTGTAGACTGAAGTGGCTGAGATGAGCCGAGAGCTGGGCATTCAGTAGGGTGCAGAGGAGCAGAGGTGTGAACAGACCCACCCGAGGGGGGCAGGTGGTTAGAGACTTGGAGATGGGTCAGATCTGAGCTGCGGAAAGATGGGATAGAGAGCTGAGGGAGAAAGCGGGGAGAGCTTGGGGCACTAACAGCCAAGATTAAAATAAAGGAAGAAACTGGATCCACCCAGTTAGAATCCACAAAGTAACCTTCATGAGTTCCTTCGTCAGGAAACATTGCCTTTTAAATGTCGCCTGCACCATGAGATGCTTCTCCGGATTGACTTTGTCATGGCCCGGCTGTACTGGAACAGCATCTGCAATGTTTGCTCCAGTAGGAGGAGGGCGGCTGCCCTGCGTGTGCGTGACTGAAGTAGTGACCATCTCGTGTGGCCTGTTGACAGTTGCAATAACCATAAGTGAGGTTTGAAGCATCTCTAATGATTTTAAAAATCATCCCACCTCTGGAAATCTAGTGACAGGTTTGGCATAGTTAAAATCTGATTTTTTTGATAGAGGACGTTGTCATAACCAGAATGTGATCTAACAGCTGCTGGCAGTTCTTTAAGAGACGTATTTTAGAAGTAGGTATTTACATGAACAGACTTGGTAAGAGTACTTATATTTTGATAAAATGTTTGACTGGAAACTCAGTTTACATGGGGGCTGCTTTAAGGTGCTGAGCACGTCTTGGAGTAGTAGAAATGTTCCAGTTATAGTTAGTACTGCAAACAGTGTGTCTGTTTTCCTTTCTAGGTCCTGGTTAGATAACAACAGGGAAAGTGCTGTTAAAAAGTTGAAGAACAGTTTGCCGCTTAGAAAAGAACTAGATCGTTTAAAAGATGAACTGTCCCATCAGCTGCAGCTCTCAGACATCAGGTAATGAAGAAGAGAAAACCTAATTTAGAGAGTAAAATAAGCATGTGGGTAAAGGTTTCTAACAGTTAAATATTTGCATCCTTAATTATTCTGATAACTAAATATTCTTCAGTTACCTTTTTATGAAAACAGTCAAATGTTTATTTAAGAAAACTGTTAGGAATTTCTTGTTTAAAATAGTGAAGTAAGGTTCTGATACTGACATTTTTAGCATAATAATTGTGGCTTTTTACATAATAAGTTTGTAAGAAAATATACTTTTCCATATGCACATAATGTATAAAAAATAATTATTTCCCCATCATGTAAGATTGGTATTCAAGTTTAAAAAGAGAAAGGGAGAGAAAAAATGTTGTATTCTTTGGTTCTGTGTTACATAGCATGACTTTTTTTCTTATTTTTAATTGAGGTATAATTGACATAACAATTAGGGTGTATTACATAATAATTCATTGCTTATATACACTGCAAAATGATTACAGTAAGTCTAGTTAATATCTGTCACCATACATGGTTACAAAAATTTTTTTTCTTGTGATGAGAACTTTTAAGATCTACTCTTTCAGACATTTTCAAAAATGTAATACCATATTATTATTTATAGTCACCATATAACATGACTTTTTAAGTAAGTTTTTATAAACTTAGAAATCACACATGCTGGTTTATTATAAAAATAGTTTTAACAGCTGTTATGACCCTAAGGAAGGGAAAAGGAGGGGTCAAGTGATTGTCATGCCCACTCCCCACCCCCAAGAGCCTTGAGATACTGTCATCTGGTCTAAGTGCTTAAATTTCTATTACTGTTCGCAGTAGCCTGTTTTGTTGTTTTCAACCCTTATAATCAAGACTTTTTCTTATATTGACCCAAATGACTATTTGGGCACCATGACCGCACCTTTCTCCTGTGCTTGCAGAGTACGGATAGTACTCATATGTTCTGTTCTTGTATACGCAAATCATAGTTGTCTAAGCTAATTCATACTTCACAGGAAAGCATTTACACTGGGGACGTGTAGAGTGTTTGTAGCCGCTCTCTTACCATCGCATCACTAGTTTTAGGCCAAGCTTTGGTTACAGGGGCTCTTCCACGATCTACTAACATAGCATTTTCTAACTGAAAACCAAATAAGATCCTTTTTAAGGATTTATAAAGTAAACAAATTAATATGCATGAAAATAACTTTTTATAAATAAATTTTAAAAGATCTGTCAAAGCAGACTGGGGTTAGGAAAATGAAAGGGTTTCTTAAACATAAACAGAAATAAACATTGTTTTACAATACAGTGGAGAAACTCCTCAGCTTAAATTCTTACCCTGGTAAATATCAGTAGCTATAACGCACATAAACAGAAGCTCTTCGGGGCCCTCAGTTTTTAAGAGTGCAGAGGGGTTCTGAGGCCAAAACGTTTGAGGACTGAGGACATGAGAGTTCTCCACTTACTGGGAAATTAACCAAGTCTCCAGCAAAAGGACGCATTGTGACTGATGACATTGGGGGTTAAAGGGAAAATATTAAAAGTCGTTTTCACTTTATTAGAAATGACATTCTTCAGAATTGCTGTTAGGACGAAGAAGGAACCTAAGTCTTTTTGAGAGTTTGTTTGAGTGCCTTACTCCTTACATTTGTTTCACCCTTTGATTTGCACTATCTGTGCTGTAGGTAATGTCCCCACTTTGCAAATATGACAGAGAAACCGTAGGAAGACTAGAAGCAGTTTGTTCAAGGCCACAGAACTAGTAAATCGCAGGATTACAGGTCAAAGGTGGGGTTTTCTGATACCACTGAATGCCCTTTACATGTACACAGCAGGACCCCTGTGATGTCGTTGGAACACCAAGTTCCACCTGGTCACTCAGATTTAATGTTCATCTGTGAAGTAAACAGATCACATGATGTCATACACTTGATCTTAGCCGAAAGGCCGAGAAGTGATACATGATGTCATAAAAATCACTTTCCCTCGAATATGATAAAAGGTAAACTATCTGGAATTCCTAATTGGAACTTAAATCTAAGACAGAATCATCATCATCAAACAATGTGGAGAAGAAAAAGATTGTTTTCCAAGTTTTTCCCATTTCAGCCTCTTATTTTAAAAGAGAAACATCGTGTGTTTACTAGTTCTAAATCTTTGGATAGCTGAATACAGTAGTAACATTTTTACCCTCTAGTAAACAAGTCATTTTCCATTTGGTTGCTTCTTGAGAAGTGAGTTCATTTGGAAGCGGCTCACTGAGTGAGTGAGTGTGCCGACTTGAGAGAGAACCTCTTCAGCTTTCATGGGGATCGGGCAGCTGGGGCTGAGCACAAGCCTCCCCCTGCGGGGACGCGGCCTCACGTGCTGTGTGCTCTGTTGGACCAGGTGGCAGAGGAGCTGGGGCATCGCGCATCGCTGTAGCCAGCTGCACAGTCTAGGCCGCCTAGCCCAGCAGAACTTGGAAACACTGAAAAATGCAAAAGGTAAATGATTTCCATTTGCTCTTTTTTTTTCCCCTTCAATTTTTATGAAGTATAGTCAGTTTACAATCTCGTGTCAATTTCTGGTGTACAGCACAATACTTCAGTCACATAGGAACATACAGATGTTCATTTCCATATTCTTTTTCACCATAAGTTACTACATGATACTGAATATAGTTCCTTGTGCTATACAGCATGAACCTGTTTATCTATTTTACATTTATTAGTATCTGCAAATCTTGAACTCCCAGTTTATCCCTTCCCACTCCCTTCCTCCCCTGGTAACCATAAGTTTGTTTTCTGTGTCTGTGAGTCTGTTTCGGTTTTGTAGATAAGTTCGTTTGTCTCTTTCTCTCTCTTTTTTTTTAGATTCCACATGTAAGTGATACTGTATGGTATTTTTCTTTCTCTTTCTGGCTTACTTCACTGAGAATGACATTTTCGAGGGACATACATGTTGCTGCAAATGGCATTTTATTATTTTTTATGGCTGAGTAGTCTTCCATTGTATAATATACCACATCTTCTTTATCCAGTCATCTGTTGATGGACATTTAGGTTGTTTCCATGTCTTCACTTTTTTTTTAATGGAGAGACTGGGGATTGAACCCAGGACCTCATGCATGCTAAGCATGTGCTCTACCAGTGAGCTCTACTCTCCCCTCCATTTGCTTTTAAAATATATCTCCCTTAACTGCTATACACATCTGTCAATTTTAAAGGAAGACCAAGTGTTAGAAGTCTGTATAGACATGACTTTATCACAGCTGAATTTTTAAATCTGTTACTCTGCCTTTAAGCTTATACCAAATTTAATCCTGAATTTGTATACTAAATTTCAGTATTTGCACAGTGCTAAAAGAATGAAGCCTGTATGGACAGTGACCAGAGGGTTTGTGCTTTATTATCAGGATGTACAGTAATATTCACAGACTGGTCCGGGGTGAGTGCAGTGGGCCACGTGATGCTAGGAACCGTGGATGTCCATCATCACTGGACAAAGGTAAGAAAAAGCTCTGAAAGCAAAAAAAAAATCTCTGATTTGTCATCAACAGACTTGTGTTTCAAACTAGTATGTGCTAATATGTCAGTGAACTGAAAAAAATTTGTAATCATAGTTTCAGCTGTTTGTAGATCAGATGTTTAATTTTACATGATTAGAATTCTTAGAGGACTAATTTTTTTAAGTCCATTTTTATTTGAAATTTAATAGTCTTTTCTGAAGGGCAACTTTTTTTTTTACA